CTGAAAAACAAACCAAACCAAACCAAAGCCAGACACTTAAATACAGAGGACAAACTGTTGATAGCCAAAGGGGAGGTGAGTGGGGTGATGGGCAAAATAGATGAAAGGGATTAAGAAGTACAAACTTTCAGTTATAAAACACAAATCATGGAGATGAAAAGTACATCATAAAGGAATACAGTCAATAATATTGTAATGTATGGTGACAGCTGGTGACTGCACTTATTGTGGTGAGCATTGAGTAGTGTATAGAACTGTGGGATCACTATGTTGTACACCTGAAACTAATAGAACATTGTATGTCACTATACTTCAATAATAAAAAATAAAATAGCAAAAAAAGTAGGCATAGAGGGAATGTACCTCAACAAAATAATTCCTATGACAAGCCCATAGGTAACATACTCAGAGGTGAAAAGCTGAATGCCTTTCCTCCAAGATCAGAAACAAGACAAGGATGCCCACTTTTGCTACTTTTACTCAATATAGTATAGGCAGTCCTAGTCAGAGCAATTAGTCAAGAGAAAAAAATAAAAGGAATCCAAATTAGAAAGGAAGAAGTGTAACTGTCACTATACGTGCAGATGACATTTTATATAGAAAACCTTAAAGAGCCCCCCAAACCGTTTAGAACAAACCAGTCAGTGAAGTTGTAGGATATGCAATCAATAAAAAAAGTCTATTGTATTTCTAGACTAATAACAAATTCAGAGAAATTAAAATAATCCCATTTATAATTGTATCAAAAAGAAATATCTAGGAATAAATTTACTCAAGGAGGTAAAAGACCTGTAAACTGAAAACTATGACATGAGTGAAAGAAATTGAAGAAGATGTAAGTAGATATTCTGTGTTCGTGGATTGGATGAATCAATACTGTTAAAATGTTCATACTACTCAAAGCATCTACACATGAAATGCAATTCCTGTCAAAATTCCCATGACATTTTTCACAGAAATAGAAAAATCAATCTTAAAATTTGTATGTAACCACAAAAGACCCCAAATAGCTAAAGCAATCTTGAGAGAGAACACAAAAGCTGTAGGCATCATGCTCCCTGCTTACAAACTATTAAAAAGTTATAGTAATCAAAACAGTATGGTTTGGCATAAAACCAGACACACAGGTCAATGGAACAGAATAGAGAGCCCAGAATTAGACCCACACATATATAGTTAATTAATTTATGACAAAGGAGCCCCGAATATACAAGGGAGGAAGGACAGTCTCTTCAATAAATGGTGCTGGGAAAACTGGATAGCCAGATACAAAACAATGAAATTGGACTACTCTTACGTCATACAGAAAATTTCACTCAAAATGGATTAAAGACTTGAACATAATTTTTGAAATCACAGAAATCCAAGAACACATAGGCAGTAAGTTCTTTGACATCATTCTTGGCAATTATATTTTGAATCTGACAGGAAAAGCAAAGGCAACATAAGCAAAAGTAAACAAGTGGGACTACATCGGCAAAGGAAACCATCAACAAAATGAAAAGGCAACCTACTGAATGGGAGAAGATATCTGCAAATCATATAAGGGGTTAATATCCAAAATACATAAAGAACTTTTACAACTCAATAGCAGAAAACCAAACAATGCAATTTAAAAAAGGCAGAGGATCTGAATAGACATTTTCCCCAAGAAGACATACAGTTGGTCAACAGGTGCATGAAAATGTGCTCAAGGTTACCAAGCATCAGTGAAATACAAATAAAAACCACAATGGGATATCACCTCATTCCTGTTAGAACAGCCAGTACCAAAAAGACAAGAAATAAATGTTGGTGAGGATGTGGAGAAAAGGGAACCATTATGCACTGTTGGTGAGAATGTAAATTGGTGCAGCCACTATAAAAACCAGTATGTAGGTTCCTCAAAAATTTAAAATAGACCTACCATATCAACCAGCAATTCTATTTCTGGGTATTTATAAAAAAAAAAAAATGAAAACACTAACTTGAAAGGATACATGACTCTCATGTTCATTGCAGCATTATTTACAACAGTCAAGATACAGAACAACCTAAGTATCCATCAATGGATGAATGGATAAAGGAAATGTGGTGTATACACACACACACACACACACACACAGGAATATTATTTAGCCATAAAAAAGAATGACATCTTTCCATTAGTGATGGCATGTATAGACCTTGAGGGCACAAAAGTCAAATAAGGCAGACAGACAAATACTGTATAATTTCATATGTGAAATTTAAACAACAACCCCTCCCCCCAACCATAATAAATGCAGAGAATAGACTTGGTTGCCAGAGGTGGGGGGTGGGGGTAGGTGAAATATGTGGAAGGGGTCAAAAGGTACAAACTTCCAGTTATAAAGTAAACATGTCCTGGAGATGCAAGGTACAGCATGGTGACTATAGTTAATAATACTGTATTGTAGGGGCGCCTGGGTGGCTCAGTTGGTTAAGCGGCTGCCTTTGGCTCAGGTCGTGATCCCAGAGTCCTGGGATCGAGCCCCGCATCGGGCTCCCTGCTCGGCAGGGAGCCTGCTTCTCCCTCTCTCTCTGCCTACTTGTTCTCTCTCTCTATCTCTCTGTCAAATAAATAAATAAAATCTTAAAAAAAAAATAATACTGTATTGTATATCTTAAAGTTGCTGAGACTCGATCTTAAAATCGCAAGAAAAAGTTTTTTTCTAAGTATGTATGGTGATGGATGTTAGATTTATTGTGATCATTTTGCAATGTATACAAATATCAAATCATGTTATACCCCTGAAATTAATATAATGGGCATATGTCAATTATACCTCAAAAAAAAATTCATTATCTAAGGCTTTGCCCAGACCTGCCATATCAGAATTTGCATTTTTGACAAGATCCACAAGTGATTCACATTAAAGCTTGAGACATACTTGCCTAGAGGGTTTTAGAAGAAAGAAGGGGATGAGAGTGTTGTTTGAAGGCAAGAAAGGGGGAAGGACCTTTTTTCTCTCTTTTAGAAAAAGTAATCACTGAGAATGATCAACGCGCACGATATATGTCCCCTTTAGTCACCTCAATGATACAATGCAGAAACATCTCCCGTGTGAAGCCAGGTCTGTTCCTAATTGTAATTTCACAAACTGCCAGTAAGCCTTGAGGGCCTAGAAGCAGAGCTGCCTTGGGCAGAATGAAAGCTAGCAGAAGTGGGCTTTTCCAGGTAAGAGAAAGATGATATCCCCCAGGCATCAGAGCAAAAGGGAGCTCATGCCTCTTTGATTATGAAGCACATACATTAGGTCACTGGAAATGAGGGGGGTTGGTAAAGGTGCCAAAAAGGAGCCTCAGGCCGAGTGTGTTGATTGGCCGGTGTTGAGCATTATCCCCGGACTCACCTGGGACACAAATGGCTTATGGATTGCAAGTGAATTCTGTGGCCAGATTTCCTCCAAATAACATTTGATCTTCATTAGAGATGGCCACAGTACATTAACTTAATGGGAAGTTCCAAGTGACTGTTTTTCAAAGTACACACCTCGGGGTGGGGACGGAGGAACATGAATGCAGTAATGTGTAGACAGCCAGTTCCAACATGTTTCGAGTTGCTAGCTGCCCAAGACATTCCGTCACATTAGTTTGTACAGTTACACAAAGAATCAAGAGCCTTGTGGTAGTTTTGGGCTGTCCCAGCAGGCCAAGCTTAATAGCATGTTTCAGACACCAACCAATCACAAACTATGCCTGACCAATCAGAATGGTTAGCCTAGCAATTAGTGCCAGCCTCTGACAAACAACAGATGTCACCCCACCAACGGGGTGAGTACTAGCTGATTATCAGCGCTGGCAGGCAGCTCTTAGATGCTAAGTAGGTCCCCGGTGGGTTCTGAACACAGACGTTGAAGGGAACCACGCATACGCCATTACGTGACTTCCCCCAAGCACCACACTGGATTGTTTTTTTCAGTGCCAACAACATTCTAAAACAGAGAAGGGGTCAGATGAGTAGGAAAACTCCTCTCTCTCTAAACAGCCTATGTACCTGCAGTGGGGAAAGCCTAGGCCTCTAATTACAATGTGAATTCCTGACTGGTGCTCAGTCCCACCCAGCCCAGAAATGATGTGAGATCAATGGTAGGGTGACTATCGGCACCTCCCATCCCTCCGAGGCTGCTTCTGTCACGGCATAGTGTCCATCATTGCTCAGGTTTGTTCTTCCCATAGAGAATCTTTACTTTGTGTACATTTTTTTAGGTTATAACTAACCATAAAGTTTCCTTTTCAAATGGACAGGGTCCTGTGGTTTCTTCCTATATCCAGAAGAGGCCCCATCCCTACGGGGGTCCTATGAGCCCCCATTTCTGCTGTGTGTTGAGCGAACCTGGGACTTTTTTGGCCATCCTCTGGCAGAGAATTGAGAAAGGAGTTGGTGATTTCAAAGTGATCCAGCTAGGCTTCAACTCTTCTTGGCTCAGAAGAGTGGTTCTCTACGCTGCCTGCATACCAGAATCTCCCGTGTAGTTTCGAAAATTGCCCATGCTCCGATCCCGCCCCTTAGCAACTGACTTAGAATCTCAGGGAGGTGCAGCCTGGACATTGGTCTTTTAAAGAAGTTTCTCCAGTTTCTAACCCAGTTGAGAACCCCTGGCCCAAAACACCCTGCACCCCCCAGATGGATCTCATCAGAGCTTTAAATCATCAGCCATAGGACAACCAGTGGGAAGAGGTAGCCTGACAGAAAATGAGTCTGAAGAAGCGGTTGCTGAAGATTGGCTAATAATCTGATAAAGGGATGAGCTTGGCGGGGGGGGGGGGGGGGGGGGGGAATCAATAGGGAAAGTGTAATGGCTGTGGGACGTATGTTCGTATTAGAGAAGAATCATCAGAAACACTAAGCTTTTGGAAGGACACTGGGCAGGTGAGTTGATTGACAGATGGGATGTGAAAGGTCTGATATCACAGAGGACTGGCAGTGGTGGACTTTTACTTCCTACCGTGGCAGTGTCCGCACCTTTAGATTTATCTTTCAAATAAAATCCTCTCACCTGGCCCCAGCTGGAGAAGGCCCACTCCACGCAGAGCTGTTGGTTACAGGCCTGGGTGTCTACTGGCCGTTTGGCGAGCTGTGTACACAGATCATTGGACACAGGGGTGGAGATCCCAGAGGCTTTCAGCTTCTGGCAGGTCACCCGGCGGGTCTGGACGCCTCCCCCACAGCTCCGGGTACAGGCCGACCAGGAGGTCACCATCCACCTGGGGAGAGGAAGAGCAAAGGGTCAGGCTTGGGCAGAGGAATGATGCCATATGTTCTCAGGAAAAGAGCCTGGGCATCCCCTTATTCTCACCACACAGCTACTAATCTCGGGGCATGATACACATGGAGTGGAAGGCTGAAAATGGTCCCCCAAAAGATATCTACAACAGATCCCCGGAAGCTGGGAGTGTTACCATATTTGGACAAAGGGGCTTTGCAGATATAATTAAGGACTTTGAGATGCAATTATCCTACATTATCTGCCTTCACAAATGTCCTTAGAAGAGAAAGAGAGATTAGAGGAGGAGACAGTGTGACCACCGAGGCAGAGGCTGGAGTGATGTGGCCACGAGCTGAGGGATGCCTGGAGCCACCAGACGTTGGCAAGGCTTGAGAAAGTTGCAAGGGGTGCAGCCCTGCTGACATCGTGATTGTGGATTTCTGGCCTTCCAAGCTGTGAGAAAATAAATGTCTATTCTTTTCAGCCACCATGTTTGTGGTAATTTTCAGCCACAGAAAACAAATAGCCTTTGGAAATCGACTGCAAAGGTGCATCCTGAAAGAGTGGTCTGCACATCACTTGTCTCACTCGTGACACTGGCCCCCAAAGCCGCGAGCCTGCAGAGGGAACGCTCTGGGAAGACAGTCCTTTAGCTAGTTATGCTGCACTGTGTTTGTGGGACTTCCTGAACCGTCCAAGTGCATGGCAGAAGGGGGACAGTCTCCTAGGGCAGTCAGATCCAAACTGTGTCTCTGGCTCTCCCCTGAGTCAGTGTTTTATCTGCTAGTACTCATTCTCTCTTCTACCTTCTGCAACCCATGTCTCACTGGATTTTGTTGAATCCCCGAGAAATAGGCAAAGTTCCTTCTGGCTTTGTGGAGCAGTTTCCCATGAGTCACAGTGCACAGGCCTTATACCTCCTCGAGGGCTACATACGTGGAGCATGTCCTTTCTCAGGATGTTAGGTTCTGGCTACAATTTGGATCGTCAGAAGTGAGACTGACCAGGACTGCGCAAATGGCTTGTCTCATAAAGCCAAGCTGGAATTTGGGAAACATGCTGGAATCCTTGGTCCAGATACAAACCCGTAGGGGCTCTCTGTGAATGTTTGCACCATGGGCTAGTTCTCAAAGAAAAGGGGAAAGGGGGACAGTTTGGGGGAAACGGAAAAGCCTTGGGGTGTTCCAGCCATCTTATTCAATCTAGGGAAAAAGACCATTCTTGGGTTTTAATGCCTGAGACAGTTTATCTAAATGAAATGGCGGAACGGTCACCTGGGTCAAAGCAGGACTCTCCGGCCCTGTTCAGAGACAACCAGGGCGAACCTTGTTTTGTTCAGAGAAGGCTGCTGAAGTGCCCAAGAAGCCTGGCAGGGAAACCAGTCAAAGGAGAGGCAAGCAGCAGAGATAGGGAGCAAATTCCTTTTGAATCTGGATCTGTGACTTATTTAGTTTGATGGAACCCCCCTGATCCATTGGCCCTGGAGAGAGATGACTGTGTGCAGATCTCCAAGCCCCAGAAGCAGAGCCACTTAGGAAGCAGGCACGAGGTGGTGTAAAGCTCCTGGGGGCACTGAAACCCAAGCCAACCTGGCCATTATTTCATTTGCAGAAGTAAATGAGCCTGATTGACTCTGACCATCACCGCAGCAAATCAAAAAGTCCTTGGCACGTCCGAAACTTCATCTTCATTTCAAATAGCTTGGCGAGGGCAGTCTTCCAGCCCCTTATATCCCCGGTGAATGTCAGGCCTGCATTTCAATCAACTTTTATTTCCAAATATACATTTCAGCAATTTTTCAGGAGCTGGGGTGGGGGGGTTTGAGAAAGGCAAGGTATGGCTATGTTACAGTTCAGGAAGGGTATAAAAGGACATTAATCATTCCCATGGAAACCTTCCCGTCAGCAAGTCAAACTGCTGATATTAATGAGCATGTTTCATATTTCATTGAGTGGCTCCTGGTTTCAGCTGCTCCTTGTGACTCAGCTGGCAAAACACAAAGCGGGTGCCTGAGCAGTGCGTGAAAGTCCCACGGACAGGTAGGAAGGGGGCATCGCGAGGCCCAGCCAAGTCCCCCCAGGCTCAGGATGCCATGCTGGTGCCAGCTCTGTGCCCACCCATTATCCTTTTAGCGACTGCCTACAAACTGGGGGTGGGTGCTCTGTGGGACTCACAGCTTCTCAAAGCTGTAAGGGGCAGAGACGGTAGGTGTCATTCTGGGGCCAGAGGCAGAGGACGTATATCCAACATGGAGGCCACTATAGAAAAGGAAGATTTGTTTTGACTTCCGCAGGATGCAACCCCCTTTGAAGAAAAGAAAGAGCAGCAGGGAGAGGGAGAGGGAGAAGCAGGCTCCACACTGAGCGGGGAGCCCGATGCGGGACTCGATCCTAGGACCCCGGGATCACGACTGGAGCCAAAGGCAGAGACACCCAATGACTGAGCCACCCAGGCGCCCCTAGGGAGCAAATTTCTTATTGCAGGATGCCAGCGAGCTCTGGGCCTGGGATGTTCCTGCTCCTTGAACAGACCTTCTCAGGCACTTGGGATGCCCCAGGCAGTCCTCAGCCCGCTGAGTGGTGAGGGAGCAAACTGCCGAGTGAGGAGGCCCATTCTGAGGGATATTTTCTGCAGGGTGGAGAGGCCTGGCAAGTCGGGGCCTATAGAAAAGAACAGTGCCTTGGATGGCAGGCCCCCTTGCCCGTACTCTGTGTCTCTCCCTACGCAGTACTGGACAGAGGCTAGCCACCGACTTGACTAAAAGTCAGGGCCCAGCGTTGGGGTCGGGGAGGCCTGAGCCAGTGCCTGCCACACTCACCGAGAAGGACAGTCTCTCCGGTTGCAGGCGACAGGCTGCACAGCAGGGCGCACCTTCCCCGCACAGTGAGTGGGGTTGACCTCTGTGCTGTTCAGGAGACACCTCAGGCGGGGCTGCTGAACGCCCCTGTTACCACAGGAGGCTGAGCAGGTTGCCAGTCTGTCCACAGACCACCAGTAATCTGTCACAGGAGGAGGATCAGAGGTGAAAAGAGGATTGCATGCATTAGTGCCCATGCTCTGTGGGCATGAGGAGCTCTCGAGAATGACACTCTGTCCTCCAGTGGGCTCCCTTCCCAACTTAGGTAGCCAAGTGGCATGGCGTCTAGGAGCCTCAGTTGGCTTATCCACGAAGTGAGTATAAGACCCCTACCTTGCAAAGTTACTGTGAGGACTGGATATAATGAAAGCAAAGGGCGGAGCCCGGTGACTGGCACATACAGAGTACTTAACCAGTGGCTGTAGTCCTTATTCTTAAATACACTTCCAAAGTACTTTTTCTTCCTAGTGGGTCACCAGAAAGTGACTTTCTTTTTCAACAAAGAGATACAAAAATATCAGAGATACTTAACAATCACATTTGTACGTGCACATTTGAGTTGAACTTTGGAAATGTTACCAAAAAAACAGCCTACCCAGAGAGCACTCATTTACATGTGACAATGACGTCAGGAAGAAATTCAATTTCTGTGGATTTTCTATCTGGGGGTCTGGGACTCACTGGTAGGAAAACTGTTAAAAGTAACTGTGGGCTGGTAAACTGTGAGTGCTTATTTGCAAGGTCATATATTACAAATCTTGCAGATAGGCACTGGCTTCTGGTTTTCAGCAGAGAATGGCGGGTTGGCAAGAAAATGCAACATTGACTTTCCTGTCCAGAAAGCCAAATGGCAGGGGAGGATGTTTAAGGGGGAAAACCCATTTGCTCCCTCCTCGTGTGCTACAGAGGCACAAAATTCTGGCCCTTCCCGCAGAATCCCCCATTTTAGAATGCATGCAATAGAATTTTGCTTTCCCTAAAAATAGTCACCCATGGGCCACAGGGAGAAATAGCCTATGGAAAACTTGAAAGCCTCACTTAGTTTCTATAACAAGGCCCAGTCTGGGTTTGTTTCCCACTGTTTTAGGTTCATTCACAACCTTTTCTTGGTGTAGCTAAAGCCAGGCTTCTCCCAAGGGCTTTCTGACCCGCCTGTGTTCCTGGAAGGTTAATGCACAAACCACAGGAAAGGTGCCTGCAAAACACTTAGCACATGACTGCAGCTGAAGACTCGTTAGCACCATAAGCAGGTACTGGCACCAGCCTGACTCTCCAGGAGAGAAGGCAATAGCCAAGCAGTTTGGATCAAGAGGTATTTTTTTTTTTTAACCAAACCAACAGAGAAAACTTGCATTAGTTTTTTTTTTTTTAATTTTTAATTTTTTTTTAAAGATTTTATTTATTTGAGAGAGAGAATGAGAGAGAGATAGAGCACATGAGAGGGGGGAGGGTCAGAGGGAGAAGCAGACTCCCTGCCGAGCAGGGAGCCCGATGCGGGACTCGATCCCGGGGCTCCAGGATCATGACCTGAGCCGAAGGCAGTCGCTCAACCAACTGAGCCACCCAGGCGCCCTGAAAACTTGCATTAGTTTAACAGGCTACTTTGCACGCATGCATGTGTGCGCTTGCATGCATGTAGGGGTGTGTGTGTGTGTGTGTGTATGTGTGATTCTTATTAGTTCAGCAAGCATAAATGAAACTTTCTTGGCTTTGCTATATCATGATGTTTCCTTGGTCCTCAGTGGTAGCAACATGATGAAGCAGAAGGGCCCACTGACTTTTCCAGATTCTGCTGGGATGGAGCTTGGTGGCTCTTCTGAAGGGCCTCATTGTATGGAGACATGGTTCTGCTTTGATTTTCATGCTCTAGGAGCCACTGAGATCAGAAATCACTTTGTTTTACTACAGAATTAGATTCTCAGGTGGACTTTCTTATTCAAGAACTAAGCCCGGCTCCAAAGCCTGAAGGGTTTCTTACCTTGGATCACCAAAGAGGCCTTCTGCACGAGCATTCCTGCCTCATTCTGAGCAAGGCAGCTGAATTCCCCTTGAGACCCGCCACTAAGATTTGCAACCTGAAGAATCTGTCCAGCTGCCAAGATATGATGTGTCAGTCCTGGGACAGTGGCGACTGGCTGATCACCATGGAACCAGGTGATATTGGGGGTAGGGTGACCTTTGATGGGACAGCCTAGAAGGAGAGTATGAAAGAGAGAGAAGCCATTAATAGAGTGAAATGGGGATATATATCTGATGAGTTGTTTTAGTGTCTCTGTGGCTTAGAAGCCACACATACGGTGTAGTCTCCTTACCGATGGCATTTTTCTTTCTTTTTTTTTTTTTATTATTTGTATTTTTTTTATTCTTATGTTAATCCCCATACATTACATCATTAGTTTTAGATGAAGTGTTCCATGATTCATTGTTTGTGCACAACACCCAGTGCTCCATGCAGAATGTGCCCTCCTCAATACCCACCACCAGGCTAACCCATCCTCCCACCCCCCTCCCCTCTAGAACCCTGTTTGTTTTTCAGAGTCCATCGTCTCTCATGGTTCGTCTACCCCTCCGATTTCCCCCGCTTCATTCTTCCCCTCCCGCTACCTTCTTCTTCTTTTTTTTTTTTTCTTGACATATATTGCATTATTTGTTTCAGAGGTACAGATCTGAGATTCAACAGTCTTGCACAATTCACAGCACTTACCAGACCACATACCCTCCCCAGTGTCTATTACCCAGTCACCCCATCCCTCCCACCCCACCCCCCACTCCAACAACCCTCAGTTTGATTCCTGCGATTAAGAATTTCGATGGCATTTTTCTTATGTGTGCCATTTCCAGGCCAATAGATGTTTCTACTCAGGAATTCTGGGAAGGTAACTATTTTTTATTCAATTAAGGAAAAATTCTTGGAGTATACAAAGTGCCTGTTTCTATGTCCTTGTATGAACTTTTAAAAAAATGAAGCCATTAATATTCACTCATTGAACATTTTTCAAGTTAATTAGTTCCTATACTGATTTTATACTAAAGAAATCACTTCTTCAAATGCAGTGAATTGGAAAAAAATGCTAATAGTAATAGTTAAGAATCAAATTTTAAGTGGTAAAAGTCTAATATTTGCCACTGTTATACTGTGTATGTGGTTTTCAAACCAAATTTTTTCAACAGAATCTAGGAAAACAATTGTAAACACTGATTTCATTTTTCTGTCAGTCAAGAACCTTGGCCTTCTAACAACTCTTACCAAGCCTGCATTGGACATGTACCTATCTATGTAGTCACTGAACATACTCTGATACATTAAAATTCTAAAATATTAAACTTAGATATTGTGTCTACCCAAGGTTTGTAGCAGAGAATTATTAAGGTAAACTGATTGCAGTTGTAAGAAGAAACCAAGTTTCTCTAAATTGAGAGTACTTGCTGAATTTGCTGTTGTGTCCTCAACAACTTAGCTTTCACAGATAATTTATTTGGAAGTTTACTTTTTATTTTTTTAATTTAAATTTTAGGTAGTTAACATACAGAGCAATATTGGTTTCAGGAGTAGAATTCAGTCATTCATCACTTACATACAATACTCGGTGCTCATCATCACAAATGCCCTCCTTAATGTCCATCACCATCTAGCCCATGCACCACCCACCTCCCTCCATCAACCCTGTTTGTTCTCTATCATTAGGAGTGCCTTTTAGCTTGTTTCCCCTCTCTCCTTTTCTTCTTTTCTCCCTTCCCATATGTTCATCTGTTTTCTTTATTAAATTCCACATCTGAGTGAGATCCTATAGTATCTTTCTCTGACTGACTGATTTCACTTAGCATAATACACTCTAGCTCATCCATGTCATTGTAAATGGCAAGATTTCATTCTTTTTAATGGCTGAGTAATATTCCATTGTTTGTGTGTGTGAGTGTGTGTGTGTACCACCTCTTCTTCACCCATTCGTCAGTGGATGGACATTTGGGCTCTCTCCATAGTTTGGCTATTGTTGATAATGCTGCTATGAACGCTGGGGTGCATGTATCCCTTCGAATCTGTGTTTTTGTATCCTTTGGGTAAATACCTAGTAAGTAGTGCAATTGATGGATCATAGGGTAGTTCTATTTTTAACATTTTGAGGAAATTCTCTACAGTGGCTGCACTAGTTTGCATTCCCACCAACAGTGCAAGAGGGTTCCCCTTTCTCTGCATCCTTGTCAACATCTGTTGTTTCTTGTGTTGTAATTTTAGCCATCTTGACAGGTGTAAGATGATATCTCATAGTGGTTTTGATTTGTATTTCCCTGATGATGAGTGTTGTATCTGGTAGTTATGTGGATGTCTTTTTGGAAAAGTGTCTATTCATGTCTTCTGCCCATTTCTTAACTGGGTTATTTATTTTTTGGGTGTTGAGTTTGAGAAGTTCTTTGTAGATTTTGGATACTAACCCTTTGTCAGATATGTTGTTTGCAAATATTTTCTCCCATTCTGTAGGCTGTCTTTTAGTTTTGTTGTTTCCTTTGCTGTGCAGACGCTTTTTATCTTGATGAAGTCCCAATAGTTCATTTTTGCTTTTGTTTCCCTTGCCTGTGGTGACTTGTCTAGTAAGAAATTGCTATGGATAAGGTCAAAGAAGTTTCTGCCTTTGTTCTCCTTTAGGATTTTGATGGTTTCCTGTCTGTCTCACATTAAGGTCTTTCATCCATTTTGAATTTATTTTTGTGTATGGTATAAGAAAGTGGTCCAGCTTCATTCTTCTGCATGTTGCTGTCCAGTTTTCCCAACACCATTTGTTGAAGAGACTCTTTTTTTCTATTGGATATTCTTTCCTGCTTTGTCGACGATTAGTTGAACATGTAGTTGTGGGCCCATTTCTGGGTTCTCTATTCTGTTCCATTGATCTGTGTGTCTGTTTTTGTGTCAGTACCATACTGTCTTGATGACTACAGCTTTGTAATATATTTGAAATCCAGAATCATGAGGCCTCCAGTTTTGTTTTCGTTTTTCAGAATTGCTTTGGCTATTTGGGATCTTTTGTGGTTCCATACAAATTTTAGGACTGTTTGTTCTAGCTCTGTGAAAAATGCTGGTGGTATTTTGATGGGGAGTGCATTAAATGTGTAGATTGCTTTGGGTAATATAGCCATTTTAACAATGTTCTTCCAATCCATGAGCATGGAATGCTTTCCCTTTCTTTGTGTCCTTTTCAATTTCTTTCATATGTGTTCTATAGTTTTCCGAGTATAGATCTTTTACTTCTTCTTTTCTTAGAATGCATCTTTCTTTTTATTATTTAAATTCAATTAGCCAACATATAGTACATCATTAGATCTTTTACTCCTTTAGTTAGAATACTTTTAGGTATATTATTATTTTTGGTGCAATTGCAAATGGGATCAATTCCTTGATTTCTTTTTCTGCTGCTTTTTACTGGTATATAAAAATGGAACAGATTTCTGCACACTGATTTTTTTTTATTATGTTATGTTAATCACCATACATTACATCATTAGTTTTTGATGTACTGTTTCATGATTCATTGTTTGTGCATAATACCCAGTGCTCTATGCAGAACTTGCCCTCTTTAATACCCATCACTGGGCTAACCCATCCCCCAACCCCCCTCCCCTCTAGAACCCTCAGTTTGTTTCTCAGAGTCCATAGTCTCTCATGGGTCATCTCCCCCTCTGATTCCCCCACCCCCAATTTTATATCCTATGACTTTGCTGAATTTATGTATGAGTTCTAACAATTTTTTGGTGGAGTCTTTTGCATTTTCTACATAGAGTGTCATGTCATCTTTAGATAGTGAAAGTTTGACTTCTTCTTTGCCAATTTGGATGATTTTTATTTCTTTTTGTTGTCTGATTGCTGAGGTTAAGTCTTCCCTTACTCTGTGAAATAGTAATGGTGGGAGTGGACATTCTTGTCTTGTTCCTGACCATAGGGGAAAGGCTCTCAGTTTTTTCCCACTGAGGATGATACTAGCTGAGTCTTTCATATATGGTCTTTATGATGTTGAGGTATGTTCTATCTATCCCTACTTTGTTGAGGGTTTTTATCAGGAAAGGTTGCTGTATTCTATGAAGCCAGCATTACCTTGATTCTAAAACCAGACAAAGATTCCACTAAAAAGGAGAATTACAGGCCAATATCCTTGATGAACATGGATGCAAAAATTCTCAACAAAATACTAGCAAATTGAATTCAACAGTACATTAAAAGAATTACTCACCACGATCAAGTAGGATTTATTTCTGGGATGCAAGGGTGGTTCAATATTTGCTAATCAATCAATGTGATACACCATATTAGTAAAAAGAAGAATAAGAACCATATGATCCTGTCAATATATAGACGTTTAAAACATATGATAAATCATTCAAAATTAAAGATAGTGGTGGCTTTCCTTCAATTCAGTTAAAAAATATTGATTTTGTGTCTACTGTTCTGGGATAGATAAGATAGGACCATCTTCCCTCTTGCAAGGAGATCCTAGCTGGTATTGGATAAAAAACAAAGCACACTAATAAAACTGAGATGTAAGGCAGAAAATGATGAGATCTGTGAGACAAAAGAATGGCTACCTGCATGGATGTCTGTGCCTATGGATCTGTAAGAGAAGGAATTTTCCAATGTTGGCTTGTTTTCTATTCTGGGGGAAACACTGTTAGAATTTGTATACGATGCGGGGTTAACACAGGAAAGGTTCTTAGAGATTGTCTAGCCTAATGCCGGAGGAGGAAACTGAGGCCCAGAGATGTTAAGATGCTTTCCTAAGATCAAGTGACAGGCCTTCTGATTCCTTGCCTTGTGTTCTTTCCTCTATACCTGCTGCTTGTTCAGCTGGGCACCAGCAATTTACCTAGGCATCTTGTTATCCCCTTCCTTTGCTCATTCCTTTTGTCCCCTCGCCCCCCCCCCCCTTTTTTTAACATTTTCACAGTAATTGTTTGGTTAAAGTGCTTGAAGCAGACTACTTTGAAGGGCCCTGGAATGCTAAAATTGACTGTAAGAAGTTCTTTATGGGATATCATTGGTACAGAACCCCGTTCTTCATTCCTCCCTGCATTGACTCATTTTGCCATGTAACTTTGCAGTGGCCTTCGATGATGGGTGAGCTGTAATTTCCTACCTCCTGATTTGGGGTTTGGCTATGTAACTACTTTGGCCAATAAAATGAGTCAGATGTTACACTAATAATCTGA